TCGCCGTCCGCGGCTGAACTCAAACTGATTTCTGTCGGTTGGGGTTTCGCTTTTATTGACGCAGTCAAAACTGGGGTGGGTCTGTCGGCGCCAGGGGTTTCTTCGATAATTCTAAATACGTATCCACCCTTCTTATTTCTGGTTAGAGATTTTCCATTTTCGGTAACTCACTCTCACTCCCACTTCCTTACTGTGTCTCTGAGGGGCGTATACCCGCTCCCCCGCATCTTCGTATCGGCTCCTTACACTTACACTTCTGACAGGGGCGTCGACCGATTCTCCTCGTGCGTCACGTGACCGCTCTCGGCCAATGAGGTCCTGGTCGTGTATCTTTCCTCCTCCTTCGTGTGTCATGTGATCTTATTTAGCCAATGACGTCTTTTATTCAGGCGTGGACAATCCGTGGCTTTGTTTTGGGGAAAGAAACACCTTGCTTAAAAAACAAAAATATTAATTTAAATCGCCCATATCATGAGCGACTGAGATGACACCTTCGGCTTTTTAACACGTGGTATTTGTCAAGCAGTTTATTGCTAATTGGATATGACCTAAGAAAGGGATTTCTCAGACCTGTTGGCGTTTTTGAACGAAATAAAAAATATTTCATTTTCCTCCGCCTGAAGGTCCGATAATAAAAATCTTTATTATCTCAAAAAATTTTCAGCGACATCATCTTGTGTGGCTTTTTCCAATTCTGGAGACTGTCTGGGTTTTCGTATTAATGGTTTGCCTTCATATCCTTAGATACACTTCCCCACCCACTTAGACCTTTACTATCACTCCAATGACACACATTCCACTTGTTACTTATCAATATTTTCATTGTCCCTAAACTTCGTTTCTTCTTTTCCTCTTGGGTGACAACCAATTGATAACAACTTCCATTTTTCGTGGATTCCGCGGAAATCGGTTAGATGCTTGACCCGGATATTTTTCGACACCTGTTATCTGTCAGCCGTTCGTGTGTGTGCTCGCCTATGACCTGTTTTCGTATTATTTTTTCTTTCTTTCTTCTTCGTTTTCTCTTTCCTTCTTCCAGATCGCTTGAATGTAAAGAAAAATTATTCTTAAAACCCAAAATATTTTTCGGCCCTAAATAATTATTAAATGGTTGATAAACCTGTAAAAAAACAAATCATATATCTATGAATATTTCTTTCAGCTCGTCAGGTATGCATGGTGCCACATATATATATATATATATATATATATATATATATATATATATATATATATATATATATATATGAGTCAATCATCGTGTGCAGTCTGGCTTTCTTCGGATAACTATCTGCATGTATAACCGTCCGTACATTTTGAATTGAAGCTTTTATTTAACCTACAGAAGTCTAGTTTGGTTTATTTGGTTTTACGGCATATAAACCTTAATAGGTTATTTAATTCCAACAAGATTTTTTTACGTTAGTTTTTTATGAATAGAATATGTATTCTTTGTAAGAATTAAGTTTGTAGATCAAGTTTCTTTGGCGTATTTCTGTAAAGAAGATTTTTGTCGCGATTTCTTTGACGATATTTTTTTTCAAAAATGTTTTCCTGAAAATATATGTTTTTTCATGTATTGCTAGAATTTTTTTTCGAAAATGTATTGTTGGAATTTTTTTTCGAAAATGTATTGCTGGAATTTTTTTTCGAAAAATATATTGTTGGAATTCTTTTCGAAAATATATTGTTGGAATTTTTTTTCGAAAATATATTGTTGGAATTTTTTTCGAAAATGTATTGTTGGAATTTTTTTTGAAAATGTATTGTTGGAATTTTTTTTAGAAAATGTATTGGAATTTTTTTCGAAAATGTATTGTTGGAATTTTTTTTCGAAAATATCTTGTTGGAATTTTTTTCGAAAATGTATTGTTGGAATATTTTAGAAAATGTATTGTTGGAATTTTTTTTCGAAAATATATTGTTGGAATTTTTTTCGAAAATGTATTGTTGGAATTTTTTTAGAAAATGTATTGTTGGAATTATTTTTTTCGAAAATGTATTGCTGGAATTTTTTTTAGAAAATTTATTGTTCGAATTTTTTTCTATTTTTCGAAAATGTAAAAAATTTATTGTTTTCAAAAAACAATTTTTACAATTTCATAGTCCATTCAGCCCAGTTTCAGAGTTTCTATTTCTTCCACATCCAGCAAAATTTTGCCCATAGATAGGACCCTAACAGATCAGAGTGCTTGCTGCAGGATGTAATTTATCGTCATACCCAGGATGCTTCATTGAGATACAGTCGACGCAATATGAAGCCCCTACCGACAGGGCGGAATTACAGAAGTAGAATCTTCTCGTTCAGCTGTCTATGTCTACGGATAGATCGTCTTTTTTTATTTTTATTTTTTTTCTGTTATTGCTAGTCACCTATCCACTGAATGTGTATTACATTCAACACACAATTACTATCCGACTAAATTTACACATGACAGACACTTGAAGAAAGCCTGAGATTATAACGGCGAAACGTCATAACAAAAACTGAGATGACGACTTAAAGTATGACATCGAAAACTATAGGCACGTAGAAATAGAGAAAATGCTTTTCAGAAAGAGAGCAAAGTATTAAGGGCTCAGAAAATGTGATATCTAATATTAGATGCGACGTGAAATTAGGAAAATCTATGCCGAAGCAGCTTAAGATATGAGTTGTCCGAAGAATGCTATGAACACTATGGATAGAGTCGAGTGAATAACAAAGAAGTTTTATGAAGAAAACGAACTACAACGAAATTGCTGCTAATATGAAAAACAGAAATTTACCAGACATATAATAAAGAAATAAGGCTTTGAAAAGTTAACACTTAAAAAGCGAGAGAAAAACGAAGAGACAGCAAGAAACCTCCTTTATGAGGATGCATTACTAGATAAGAAAACAAGGCGTCATAAATGAACAAGCAAAACAAAAGAAAGGAAGTAGTGGAGAGCTATGATCGCTCACGTTCTGTAAGAGCTACTTGATGAGATTGAATTAATGGATAAGAAAACAAGGAGTACTAAATGAACAAGCAAAATAAAAGATAGGAAGTAGTGGAGAGCTATGATCGCTCACGTTCTGTAAGAGCTGCTTGATGAGCTTGAATTAATGAATAAGAAAACAAGACGTGCTAAATGAACAAGCAAAATAAAAGATGGGAAGTAGTGGAGAGATATGATCGTTCACGTTCTGTAAGAGCTCCTTGATGAGATTGAATTAATGAATAAGAAAACAAGCCGTGCTAAATGAACAAGCAAAATAAAAGATGGGAAGTAGTGGAGAGCTATGATCGCTCACGTTCTGTAAGAGCATGGCACATAGCGACAAATTACGATGGAATTTATTTTTAAAAACTTTAAAACAGCGTTTCAGATATAAATTTTCTAGTAATATATTGTTGGTGCATAATTATCAGGCGTTTTTAAACAATATTTATTATGAAAAAAAGAAACGTGACCATTTAAAAATATCAGTTTAAACCAATAACAGTTTTAAATGATAATTCCTGAACGTTTGATTATCGACAAGCATTTTTATAACCTTGAAATAAAATATTTTTTTATCAAAAATGTAAACAAAACAGCAATTTTTATTAAGAAATAACTCGCCTACAAAATCGCTTGATAATTATGCACCAACCCAATAAATACGATATGAGAGCCGCTACTAAAGAACGAAAACCGAGTGACAGTTGGTCTTGGACAGTAGCAGCAGCAGGCGCCTAATTAGTAAAAACTTGAGTGATTGCATGACAAGCAGTAGCAACAGCAATACTCATTAGACAGCAAGGTTGGGTTTAAGGCTCCAGGTTCTTCTACGGGACAATAGTGTAATAGATTAAACCGTTAGTTTTTGATATTTGGTGACATAGTAATTATGAGTTCAATCTCTATGACGACTGAACAGTAATAAAATAAGATCTAAACGAGATATCCTGAGACATGACCGATAGAATGAGAATGCAGATTAAATATAGGGTTCAGTTCAAAATTCCCTGTAGGTTACCTGGCTTGATTTAAATATGATGAACACCGGATAGTACAAAGGTAGAAACGTTTTTACTAAAGATGAGGACAACAGTCCGAAAATAAATAATGTAAATAATGATAGCTCCTCATCCCAGAAATTCTGTCAATTTTTTTTCTATTTCAAACTTTACACCAAATAGAAATTACTACCACAAGCATCCAGCGAACAAAGAATTTCTTTCCAAACTCAGAAATTGTGCCTCTAGCAAGTTAGCGAAATTGTTGTCCATTGGTGACATTCATTTATCGCATTTACACGAGAAACGCATATGAAGAAATTACAATGAGACATCAGATTCAATCGTCACGGTAATAACAAAGTTGAAAAAAAATGTCAGAAAAGTTAAAAGTATTCCAAAACGAGAAGAAATGCTTACAAAGAAAACAGAGAAATGTATTATTAGAGAGAAAAGAACAAAATATAAAGAAAATATATTAAAATTTAAAGAAAAAGAGAACGAACTGGTAACGTGTGCGTTAAATGGAAGGTAAAAAAATAAGCAATTCCATAAAAATGAAGTCAAATTCGTATGCAGCTAAGTAATTTAGTATATGAATAGATAAAAATAGGCCTAGAATATTAGCATAAAAATGAAATATAAATAGCCAAACCAAAGGAGGGACTAGCAGATTTGGTGAAGATTTGTGGCAATTATTCCTGAGAAACAGGAGAATAAAAACATGGCTGCTAACTGAATGCTAGCGAATGAAGGAATTTATAAAAATGAAAATAGAAAGAAAGAACATTGCAAAGAATGAATAATAAATTGAAAGATCAGCAAGTCTAAAAAGAAGAAATGAAAGAAGAATATACGAAAATATTCCATGATTTGACGAATGAAAATTCGCTCGGATCTAACCGAAGAAAAAATAATACACATGTATAAAGAAAAGAAACTTAACAACGTAAGAAATGATGAATAAAGGTGTGAAGGAAAGAACCCAGGGAAGAAATTGAATATTATCTGAACAATAATGCATATTAACATTTGCCGTTTTTACTTGTTTCTTTCACAACAGAATCCCGCACCTCGGTATTTGGGTTGCGGCATCAAAGATTTTTTTCTACGCATGCGCATGTACAAACCTTGGCATCCATTGCCAGTAATTTGATTATGACGCTTGTTGTTGGAAAGTGAAGAAAAAGGCGGGAAACCTGGGGCGGGAAATATGAAAACTTACCTTTTCGTTTTCTTCTTCTTCTTCTTCTTCTTCTTCTTCTTCTTCTTCTTCTTCTTCTTCTTCTACAAACACGTTTCCATCATCATAAACATCAGCATCATCGTTATCATTATTGATATTATTATTATTATTATTATTACTTATGTTATGCAGGATCCATTTTATATACATTCGAGATATCATTTCTGCACTGTTGATGCCAGAAGGACCTTTATATAGATATGTAAATTCGAGTTCATTCATATGTTCATATATATGTATATACGTATATATGAGAACAGAAATGTACATTCAGTAGTATAAGTATTTATAGAAAAACATGATTAAATACACATGCACACACACACATACACACACATATATATATATATATATATATATATATATATATATATATATATATATATATATATATATGCTCATGGAATGTAGCTGTGACATTCTGTATGTATGTACGTGAGTGTGTGTCTGAATGTATTCCCTGATGTAATTATATATTCATTTATACTAGTACAGATGAATTTTTTACTATATTTAAAAATGCAGCTATGAACCGAGTAATAGGTGTATATGTTTATATATATGTATATGATAGAACAAATGACAGCATTTTTTTAGCTTTTTACCCTCAGGACGTTCACGATTATGGCTCTCCACAATTTCCTTCCATTTGTAGCTATTAATAAGTCTTGTCTTTTTGTTATCTATCCTAAAGACTACACCATCATACATTTACTCAAATTCACTAAGCAAGTTATGCAATGATTTTATCTGTCCGTCTTGCCTGTCTAGTGAGTATCAAATTTTCCAAGCCCTCTTTCCTCATTATGTGCCCAAGAAATTTTAACTGTCACTTTCTGGTGTTAAATATAAATGACCTTTTTGATTCCATTTTATCTAAAACTTGGTCGTTACTCATGATATTCTCAGCATTGTTCTGTGAAGACATACTATTGTTACCTTAATTCTCTTCCTCCTTTGTGAGGAGATTGTCCAGTATTCACTGCCATATAAAATGTCTTATATTACCTAACAGTTCAATATTCTTTTCTTTGTTTCTGTTGCTTCAGGCCTCTTTTTCATCTTTGAAGTGATTGTCCAGTATTCGCTGCCATATAGGAGGAAATATATTATATGACAGTTCAATACTCTTTCCTTCGTTGCTCTTGCCTTAAGTGTCGTCTTCATCTGTGAGGATATTGTTCAGCATTCGCTGCCATCTAGGAGGAATGATATCACATGGCAGTTCAATATTCTTTCCTTTGTTTCTGCTGCTTCAAGCCTCTTTTTCATATTTGAAGTGATTGTTCAGCATTCACTACCATATAAGAGGAATGATATTACATGACAGTTCAATACACTTTTCTTTGTTTCTGTTGCTTCAAGTCTCTTCTTCATCTGTTGGGAGATTGTCCAGCATTTACTGCCATATAGGACGATTGATATTGCATAACAATTCAATACTTCTTTCTTTGTTTCTAACGAAATTTTAAGGAACAAAAATATCCTAAATTATAGTAATGTCACTGAAATGTTATCTAATAATTTATGAATCCAACAATGCAATATTTGAAAATTAAAAAAGGATGCCATTGCTCACCTGTTCAGGCCATGTTGTTCTTGAGTGTCTCGACTCTTCATCTCTTTCTCTTCAGGACATTAGCGATCGTTGCTTTCAACAATTTTCTGTCCCATCTTGATAACTTTTATCTTTTTGCCATTTGTCCTATACCCTGATCCGCCACTCCTCTCCAGAGACGTTGTATTTTGCTTTCCTCTCTCTGTCTTACCTCCAATCTGTCCTGTGATACTAAAATTTAATTAGCCCTCTTTCCCCACTGTGTGTCCCAAAAAACTCAACTGTCTCTTTCTGGTGTTAAGAAGTATCCTTTTTGTTGCAATTGTATCTTGAATTTTGTCTTTTCTCACGTATTCGGTCCATGGTATTCTCAGTATCCTTCTGTAGAAATACATTTCTGTGGCTTCAAGTCTCTTCATCTGTGAGGAGATTGTTCAGCAACCACTGACATATAGGAGAACTGATATTACATATAGACGGTGATCGAAAATTAATTCCCCATTTTAAAATACTTCTAATTTATTTATTAACTTTAATTTTTACAAGAAATGGATATGAGAGGAAAGTGGTTTTATTTAAAATTCGATATGGGCACCAGATTTGGCTACCAACATCTCGTGCCGCCCAGGAATCGTGTCAATTGATTTCACCAAAAACTCTTGTGGCATGGAACACACAACTTCTTTGTATTTGCCCTTCTTCTAAAGTCATGGCTTGGTATCGTAGACTTGCTCTTTTAACCAACCACAAAGAAAAAAAAAAGTCACAGGATGTGAAGTCAGGACTTCTGTTTAGTCATTGATACATAAAATAGGGAGTTACTTTTCAGTCATCCTGTATTAATGTTTTTGTTCTAATTTGAATGTATCTATGGAAATGTCTACGTGATTCTTTCTTGTTGATATGGCTTCTATTGTGAATAATTCAATGCATGCATCGCTATATAATATTAAAGAAAAGTTTACAAGCATATGACAAAGATTGGGTTATCAGATAATGCATGACATCCGATTAGCGTATAATAGCTCGCTTTGAAAAGACAACATTCAAAATATTGAATGATATGTATGCACCTTCGTCAGAGACAAGCAATCAATTTTCCTAATCACGAACAAGACCAAAAAAGATTAATAAGTAATTCTATTATTGTCTGTAGCTTTATGTTATAAAATAAAGCGTTTTATACACGAAATACTTATTCGACAAAATCTCTTTCTTTAAAAATGCATTATTATTATTATTATTATTATTATTATTACATTTCGATTTATACTATGGTCACACTATTTACCAAGTCTGCGGGAAGACCTAAGGCAGGTAATGGTGTGTTGTTATGACTACATTTCATGATCTGTTCTTCCAACTTCCATAACATCATTGGCGTTACATGGACAAAGTTCTTAGTGTGTCGGCTCTACTTACCAATTCAATTTTTTGTATTTCTCTTAAGCTGGGATTTCCAAGATTATTTTCAATGTGTTGTTGTGTTCCTTTTTTATCATTCCAAGCGCACCTTCTATGACTGGTTCCATTTTTGTTTTCAGTTTTCAAATTTATTTTCGATTTCGATTTCCAGGTTTTTATACTACGATATTTTTTTCAAATTCCTTGGTAGCTATGTTAAAGTTCGCTTCGCAAGGCATCAATTAGTAGGCAAGCTTTTATTTTCTTTTCATTTTTGACAATTATGTCCTGCCTATTTGCTTTAATCTTCCTGTTTGTTAACGTGATGTAATCCCATATAATTATGATGTCTCCTATTTCGGTAAACGCAGCTGGCTAATGTTCATACCAGTGTTTGTTAACATCTTTTTACACTGCACATTGTCCAGTGTAAATATTTCCCTACTTTATCGTGACGATTTTTATATTCATTTGGCGCAAGTAGAGGACATCATGAGATTAGATGATCTGTGGTTTATTATTATTATTATTATTATTTTCTTTGATTTCTGGCGTCTATACATTTCTTTTCGGGTCCCTCCCAGGGACCTAAAGTTAGAAATGTCATCATGACACTTTCCACTGACAGAAAAAAATACATAGATAAAGCCCTTCGTAAAGTGTTGGCTGTACTTGTCAGAATAATTTTTTTTATCTCTTTGAGGCATGGATTTCCAGGAATCCCTTCAATTAGTTTACTGGAATCTTTTCCAACCAATCCTATGGCTTCAGCTACAACAGGGATTGTTGATGTTCCCATATGCCACATTTTTGAGATTTCTATTTCAAGGTCCTTGTATTTTGACAGCTTTTTGAATATTTTCAAAGATGCATTGCAGTCAGCAGGGACTGCCATATCAATAAGGAGGCACTTTTTTTTGTTTGTGGTCTTTAATAACAATATCTGGGCGGTTGGCTTTGATTGTTCTGTCAGTGTGTTTTGTGTAGTCCCATAGAATTGTAACAGGTCCTATCGCTGTAACCGGGTCTGGGTGGTGTTCATAGCAGTTTCTTTCAGTTTCCTTCCCGTAGAAGTTGCAGATTTTCCAGTGCAGATATTGGCCCATTCTGTCATGCCGGGCTTTATATTTAGTGGGTGCCAATATCGTGCAACCTGATACAAGATGATCAATCGTTTCTGTATATTTATCACAGAATCTGCATTTTGAGCTAACACAGTATTTTAGTATATGTGCTTGATAATTCCTAGTTAACAAGCATTATTATTATTATTATTATTATTATTATTATTATTATTATTGTTGTTGTTGTTGTTTCGTTTTATTTATGTTGTATACACATTTTCTTCCGGTCCCATCAAGAGACCTAAGGTCAGAAATGGCTCCTTGACATTTCCCACAGATCAAATTTGTAAAAAAAAAAAGCAAAAAAAACGAAAAAATACGATCATATATATTTTACATCGATAAATCTCTCTGCAATGTGTGATTAAAATATATATATATTTTTATTTTTAAGGCATGGGATATTAAAATTTTCTTCAATTCCTTAGGAACATTTTCAAATCAAACCGAGGACTGCTTTATCTACAGCAGGAATTATGGATGTCCTCATGTGCCATATTTTTTAGTTTTCCATTTCAAGATGAAGATCGTTGTTTTGAAGATCTTCAAAGATACACTAGATTTTGCAGGAAATGCCATGTCAATAAGAATGTACATTTTGGTTTTGTGTTCTTTGATTTCCATGTAATTATTATTATCAGTAGTAGTTTTATCATTATTATTATTATTATCCACATGAAAAGCAAATTAGTTATATTCT